TAAGATTACATAGCTAGTCAATGGAGAATCAAAACTTGAATCTGGGACTACTTATTTCTGATTTCACATGTTTCAGCTATTTCAAATCCTTGAAGAACACTAAAATGTCATTCTTCCTAAGTTTTCTCTTCCTGGCCAAAAATGAAACCCATCAATCAACACACATTTATTAAGCACCTACTAGGTGTCAGTCCCTGTGGACAAAACAAAGCAACTCCTGACTTCAAGTGGCTTACATTCTACTTAAGGAAATGCATATTCATAAAAGTGAAACAAAATATTTTCAAAGTAAATTCTTCTGCTCTTAATATGACACAATAATCTTGCTATGAATTGTGTACATGTGATATATCTGGATTTCAACAAGAAATTGTTGAATTCTCTTATGACAGCCTTGTGGATAAGATATACAGATACAGATACAGATAGGGGTTTAGAACTGCTTGACTGGCCAAATCAAAAAGGATTTGTATTGGTGTTAATCTGGAATACCTATATTGGAGTGCCATAGGATTCTATCCCTGTCAATGTTATGTTCAAAAATGATTTTAGTGCTTAGGTGACCAATTAATCAAATTTTGGGGGACCTGGGGAAAGAGGAGATAACATTAGGTCACCATTGAAGATCTACAAATAGAACTTAGATGAACATTTGTTGAGGATGTCATAAACAGGAATCCTAATTGCATCAGCATAGGACTGAGTGAATTAGGTTCCTTTGATAAAGTTTAATAAAATGAGGATTATAATACCCTATGTGCGAAATAATTCATAAGATTGTCATGAAGATTATGTAATGTAAGTATGTAATTTGATATAATAAATTATGTCATCAGGGAAATGTATGACAATGCAATAAGGGCCTGAGCATATTGGGTGTACCCTCCATAGAGAATTCATGGAAATTCATAGATAAGAGCCTCTAGGATATGAAGCTGTGAATGAGTTTCAATTTGTATCATTAGAGGGAGTACTTCCATCAATGAAATCAAAGATCCATACAGAAAAATTTATGTGGAAGAACTTGTTATACCAAAAGGTTCTTCATGAATCACACATACTACTTTATAAAATTGAATAAGGAAGCTTTCTAGTAATTTTTTTTCTAGAGTGAGTGATCATAAAACAAAGATTATAAACATCTAAATTCTCCACCACTGTCCTTTTCCAATGCCTCATTGTGACATGGAGGGTACCTGGAGATCTCAAAGACTATACCAGTAAGAACCATCTCTAAAAGGTCCTAACAAGTTGTAAAGTCTTTAAATCTTGGCCAGACCATATATCTCTTGTCCAAGGAGAAGTCGAAGCTTCTAAGGTCAAAGAGGCTCATCAATGAATCTCAGAATTGAAATGGGCCTTTCAGGTTGTCTAGTACAATTCATATCTGAATAGGAGTTGACCACTAGGTGATGAATTTCTTTAGCCACAGACATTCATGAAAAAGCAAGAAAGGGAAGCAAAGGCAGGTACACAAAGCCAAAAATAAAAGAATATTGAGGACTTTAGTCAGGAAGTAGTGTCAGGAAGTAGTATCAGGAAGTACTCAGGAAGGAGTATCAGGAAATAAAAGAGTAGAGAGGTTCTCAGATGAATCAATTGAGATGTATTCCACATAAATAAAATTGCTAATCATTATCTTAAACAGTAAACACTAAATATACACAAAATTCTGCCATCTACTACTAGAAAAGTTAGTATCAAATTCATTAAAATGATATCTATTATCCCTATCAAAGAAATATAGAAATTCCAAGCCATGCTTGAAAATTGTGATAAAGGCCCCTCTATTAATAAAATAAAAATAAACAGTAGTTATTATTCTTGAAGCACCAAAAAAAATTATAACAGAGTTACTTAACTTGGGGTCTGTATATTCTAAGGGATCTGTGAACTTGAATGGGGGAAGAAAATAACATCTTCATTTTCATTAACCTGTCATTGAAATTTAGCATACATGCAATTGTTTAAAAACATTATTCTGAGCAAGGGTTTATAGGCTTCAGCAGTCTGTCAAAGGGATTCATGAAACATGCACAAAAAAGTTAAAATCTCTTGTTTTACAGTACGGAATTAGGCAAATATGTCTTACTTAAACTGCCTGTTTTCATTAATCTGTCAAAATCTCTTTAAAAACCACATAATATGTAACCTTAAAAATATAGATATGCTTAAGAGTAAGGAAAATGTCGGAGAGGTTGAAAGTTATAGAATTTTTTTAAGTTAAAGATATTAGGACCAAATTATTCTTATGCAGAAACCATTCGAAGCAGCAGATCCCAGTAGGACTAACTTCAAAAACAATGATCTGTCATCACAGCAATCTCCCAGCATCCACACGTCCTAACAAAGTTGTTAACCCCCAGGATATATTGAATCAAATGTTATTCCATTGTGCAGAGTCCAATGTTTTGGCAAGTGCCGCTTTTTGCAGATAAAGATTGCAGCTATTTAAACACAACTGCAAGTATGCTAAAGAAAATGCACCACCTCACTGAACTGATGTCACAAGGTATGAAAAGCCTTCTGGCTCTAATTTCAGCGATGCACTGCAGCAAGTATAAGGAGAAAATCAAAAGAAGAAAAAAAATGCTACTTTCATCAAACATGGCTTATCTCCTTCTGTACTAACCTTTGCAAAGCAGCTAGGGAAACTATGTGTTCATACATATATACGTGTCTACATATATATGAATGTATGTACATGGAAATATATATATGTGTGTGTGTGTGTGTGTGTGTATACACAAAATGTGTGTCTCTATATTTCTGCAGAGAGAAGCATATATATCATACATATATGATCTTTCAATAGCTATTTCATTAAGTACCTGGTGTGTCTGGCAAGAAGGCAGGTTACATGTATTTATTAAGTAATTACCGCATGCCAGACACAGTGGTAAGCACTGACCATACCAAAAAAGAAGGTAAAAACAGCCCAAGCCATCAAGGAGTTTTTGCAGCTACCTGTGCACTGGGTGCTTGGGGAGATACAAAGTTTAGATAAGACAGAATCTCTGCCCTCAAGGAGCTTACAGGCAGGTGAGATGATAAGGCACACAGATAACTCTAATGCAGTACACACTACGGAAAGGGTATTAGAAGAGATACAAAATAAAATGGTATACTGATTTGGAGGATCAGGGAAGGCTTTATAGAGGAGATGGCACATTAGCTGAGCTTTAAAGGACGGTTAAAAATTCAACTGTCAGAGGCCAATAGGCTGTAGGCAAAGAAACAAAAAAACTAAGAAAACAGTGGGTCTTGGTAAAGAGAATGGTTCAGTTTGGCTAAAGCATAAAGTGTACAACGGGAGCTAATACTGGAAGAGACTGGAAGAGTAGGCATCAGAATATAAAAGCCCTTGAATAGGAAACAAAGGAATTTTCTTGGAACCACTGAAGATTTCAGAACAGAAGATTGGCATGACTAGATTTAAATGTAAGGAATGTACGTCCGGGGGCAGCTAGGTGGCACAATGGATAGAGTGCCAGATTGGGAGTCAGGAAGACCTGAGTTCAAATGTGGCCTCAGAGACTTACTAGCTGTGTGATTTTGGTAAAGGCATTTAATGCTGTTTGCCTCAGTTTTCTCATCTGGAAAACGAGCTGGAGAAAGAAATGGACAACCACTCCACTGTCTTTGCCAAGAAAACCCCAAATGGGGTCACAAAGAGTTGGATGCGGCTGAAAAACAACTAAGCCACAACAATCAATATGATTCTAGTACCAGTACGAAGAATGGATTAAAAGGAAGAGAAAGTAAAATGCAAACATACATACATGTATATATAACATACACATATATAAGCATAATGCTTGTCTAGATGTATAAATACACATACAAATACACACTATGTTGTTTTTATCACTATTTGAATTTTAATTCCATATTTATGGATCCTTTAATTTTTTTGCTCTTGAAAAGGAAAAAATTAAGTCACATGCATGACTATTTCCTTTCCAGTAAATAAGTTAATATTTGTCATTCATTCATTTTCTAATGTAACAGACAGAAAAAGCGACATAAGTAATATCAGAACCAGAAAACTACGAAACCCCTGAGAAATATCACACCAGTGTTTATAATAAATAAAGTATAAATATTTATGGTGACAAAATATCAAATAGTTATTTCAGTCACCAAATAATAACAGACCAAGCAATTTATACAAAATAGACCAAAGAACAATCTTTTAAATACGAGAAGATACATTATGTTTCATGTTACCTTAACGGTGATAACTTTGTTTTCATCTGCCTCATTTTAGCCTATCCTCATGCTTCAGGCTAGCAACACCTCAGGGCTCAAATATCAGGTTATTACCTACCTGTCAAGTTAGAATCGTGTCTTGATTTCAACTTGTTTGATTTTTTGTTGTTGTTGTCAAGGTAGCTAGTCTCTGGTCTTTTTTCTTTCCTTGCCTTCTTAGAGTACTGACCCCTTTGGAACAATGTGAAATAACTAATTTTTTCCTGGATTTTTTATGCTTTTTATAGTAAAAACCTATAACATCATTGCATCTGCCAAGCTGTTTCCAATTATGACCATTCATCCAATCCAATAAACGCTTATGAAATGCCTACTATATTCAATTCAATTCAATAAATAATTATTAAGCACCTACTATATGCCTAGGCACTATCCTAGGCTCTGAGGATAGAAAGACAAAATAAAAACTGGTCCTTTCCCTCAAGAAGCCTGAGGACAACAACCTGTAAATAAATATCCATATATACATGATCATTTTTGAGGACTAGCAACTATTTTCTTCCCAACACTCCTGCCCCTAAGGCTATCCGAAAGTAAATTACTCAGGTTCCTTACCTGTTAAAGTTCTAGAGGATTTTTGAACAACCAATGTCTGTATCAAGTCCAATTATTGTTAAACCATTTCATTTCATAACTACAAACTAAACACAGTTTGCTTCACAAACATGGATGGATAATCATTAACAACATAATACTCACCATTAAACTTCGATGTATTATTTACTCACCTTTTCAATAACTTTATTAACCACTGGAGTGTTGGGTGTGTACAATATCTTCCCATGCAATAAAGGCTTTAGGAAAGCCCACACCAAGGCTCCATTTGGAGACTGTAAAATCTCCTGATATAGCTTCAGGCAAAATGGCGCTGTTTTAATAAAAGAAGCCATCGTTTAAAAGATGATTCTTGATGCAAGTGAAGAAGCTCTCAATATTAATAATAATGGGTTTCCAAAAGACTACAAAATCGTGATGGCTTAAATTGTGTTTCATATCACAACTTCCAACTTCACTACTGTTAGATCAAACAATTGATCAAAAACAGCTTTTGTTTTTCAGGATTCGTTACTCAAAGGGAGTTTCAGGTTCATTTTAGACATTCAGGGAAGAAGAAAGTATGACCCTCAAATATGAAAAGATGCCATTATCAAAGAACAGAAACGGGCAACGAGGCATAAAGTTTGTAGGAGTAGATATGAATTAATTGAATTTGTAAATTAGTGAGTTATTATCATAATAGCCAACAGAAGCAGCCTGGTAAAAATTGGGAAGAACCCTGGACCTAAAGTCCAGGGAGACCTGAATTCAAATTCCACCTTGGACAATGAACAGTTAGATGACCTTGTACAATTCACTTAAACTCTCTGAGTCTCAGTTTCTTTATCTATAAAATGGAGACATTAGGACCGGAAGTAACTATTACCCGGAGCTGTCATGAGGTTTAATTGATGTAGAAGACATAATGCACTTTGCAAACCTTAAAGTGCTATATAAATGTGAGTTGTTATTATTAACCCGATTCTCTATGCAGGCCTCTCTTCTATACTAATTTAGTATGTACCAGGCTCCTGATCTCTTTTTGTGTCATGGACCTTGTTGGCAGTCTGGTGAAGACAACTGACCCTTACACAAAATAATGTTTCAAAATGCATAACATAAAGTGCATGAAGCTGCAAAGGTGGCCTAGGAGATGGAGTGTTGGGCCTGGAGTCAGGAAGACCTGAGTTCAACACTAGCCTCTGACACTTCCTAGCTGTGTGACCCTGGGCAAGTCACTTAACCCCTGTTTGCCTCAGTTTACTCCTCTATAAAATGAGGTTAATAATAGCACCCATCTCCCAGGGTTGTTGCGAAGATTAAATGAGATAATAATTGTAAAATGTTTTAGCACATATTAAGTGCTATATAATTGTTACCTATTATTATTGTATTGAAACAGTTATGAAAAAATGTTTAAGTTCATGAACTCCGTGTTAAGTGTCCCTGGTATATACAATGCCATGTCTGAAACTCAGTGATGACTGAGAGTTCTGAGTATGATCAGTCTATTTGCAAGGCTAGCAATTGCAATAGATGGTATCTATGACCTCTCAGAAACCAGAGACCCTGACTGAAGGCTAATATGACATTTTTATAATGAACAATGAGGAACAATTTTGAGCAACATAGGCACTGTAATTTCAAATTGGCATAAACATGGCAAAAATTCACAGCACATCCTGGAATGTTTTTTTGTGGTTTGGCCATTTCTGGTAAAGAGGGACATGGAAAGAGAAACATTTCTGGTAAGAAGGAACATTGTGGCTAGAATATGCCTTTAGCAAGCCGTGCAGGCACATCCTGTGTGTATGCATAAGAGTCTGTCACCCTCATTTCTCCCCAATTAAATGTATAGGCAAGTTTATCTTAATATGATTTATAATCAAGCAAAGCTAACTTCAAAAATGGGGGATAATCACAAAATAAAACCGTATCTGATTATTATAGTTCCATAACAATACAATTTTATACCATTGATACTTATTTCAACAATTAATGGCTTTGCAGTTTCATGTGCAATCATTTTTTTTATTATACTGTGTTAAGGAAATACTTGGGTTTTTTTCCCACAAATTAAAAATAAAATAAATGAATGTGGAAAAAAAAATTGAAGCCTCTGATTTTTGGGGTTTTTTTTTTTGGTCAGGATAGATACACTGCAATACATCTGTTCCTTATTTTATTTTCACCATTCTGTGACCTACTTTTGCTGAAAAAATGCATCACCCTATGCCCAACTTAGTTGGGTTGGTCCTTAGAAGATAGACATACAGCTTATCACCATACCCATATTGAAAACGGTTTTCAGATTGGGGTAGGGATGACCCTGGATTCTCAAAGACTGTGCCCATGTATTGCCAGTTCCAGGAGGACATATCAAGTGCTCTCAAGTTCATATTAATAAAAATTACTGACAACAGATGTTGATCTTACTTGAATCTTTGGGAATGTTGAATTTTGTCTTGTCATCCTCCAAGAGATCATTCACTCTGGGCAAGCTAATGTACATGTTAGAGTCGCTAAGGAAAGATGCTTCTTTGCAAACCATCTTCATCACAGACAGGAGAGAGCCAAAGGTTGAACTTCGAGACTGGACATCTTGTGAAAACTAGAAAAACAAACTGAATGAGGGTGAGAAAAAAGTGCTTGCTTACAACAATCCCTTCCAAAAATTTCTGGGATTATGGACAATTCCTCCTTCTAAACATGTCCAAGAACATCCATAAGAAAGGAATATGGAAGTCAGGCTATGATCTTCTTACCATTTTTATGTTAACAGAAAAAGATAATTACAATGTCTTGAAAGTCCACCTCAAATGCTGTCTACCCCAAATGCATTTTTTTATTCCAATATATAACATCTCTTAGCTCTCTACCTTTTCACAGGTGATTGCACATGCCTGTAATGTTCTTCCTCTTCACCTCCACCTCATAGAATCTCTAACCTCTTCCAAGGTGCAACTTGTACCATCTCTTACACAAGGTTTTTCATTGCTTACCTGCTCCTGAAGTTTCTCAGTATTTGTACATACTTTGCAATTTTTTGCCTGTATACATGTTGGATGCCCTCACAGAGTGTAGGATCCTTAAGAGCAGGACCTTTTTCATTTTTGCACCAGAACCTCACACATAGCAGAGATAGAGATAAGGCTAGATCTAAAATTTGATGGCTCTAGGGAACTCCCAGGTAGGGGTCATTCTCTACTCATGTAAGTCAGCATCTTTTCTGCAGGATATAATCTAAAGTATTGCCTAGAGCTGGGAGAAATAAAATTACTTGTCCAAGGTCACACAACCCGCATGTGTCAAAGGCAAGACTTGGACTCAGGTCTTGGCTTCGAGTCCTCTTTGCTTTATCCATGATGCCATGCTACTTCTTCAAAAGTGTTCATTAAATTGAACTGAAGTCTTCCCTGATCCCACCAGTCAGGGATCAACTTCCTGTAACAATCTCATAGTACTTTGTTAGGCATCTCTTTCATTCCCTTATCCTATTATGTTGAATAGTGTTATCTGAGTTTGAATATTTTCTGACTACTAGACGATAAACCACATAAGGCCAAGGAGGATTCTGTATTCAAATTTTATAATTCTAACAGCCTAAAATGGTGTTCTGCACCCAATTTTTTAAAATTAATTTTTAATTATTTTTTTTAATGGGACAGTGTACCCTGTCAAAAACCATAATATCATGTGAAAATGACAGTGCAGGAAGTTCTGTTTATCATTATGTCAAATAATGGCTAGAGGTATTTTTGCTGTTGTTGTAGTCCAGTCATCTTTCAGTCACGCCTGACTCTTTATGACCCTATTTGGGTATTCTTGGCAGAGATACTGGAGTGGTTTGCCATTTCCTTCTCCAGTTTGCCTCAGTTTCCTTAACTGTAAAAAATGAGCTAGAGGAAGAAATGGCAAACCATTCCAATGTCTTTGCCAAGAAAACCCCAAATGGGGTCATGAAGGGTCAGGCAGACTGAAATGACCGAGCAAGTGAACAAATGGTAACACATCTCATAACTCCTCCTCTGCTGTGGTACTGCCACCATCCTGGTGTAGGCCTCATTCCCTCATTCCCAGATTGTTGCAATAGCCTGTGGTTAGTTTCCGTGGCTCACTCTCTCTCCACTTCAGTCTGTCTTCCACTCAGTTATCAAATTGACCTTCCTAAAACACAAGTCTTATATCACTTCCCCTCAAAAAAATTAATAAACTGCAGTGACTTCCTGTTTGGTTTTTAAAGCCCTTCATAATCTGCCCCTTTCCTACCTTTCCAATTTTAGACCTTTCTCCCGCCTACATCCTCTGTGATCCAATGGCACCAGCCTCCTTGCTGGGCCTCCCACAAGATATTCCATTTCTTCATTCTATCCTCCATGTTTGTAATCCTCTCAGTCTCTCTTCATCTCTGCCTCCTGGCTACCTTGGCCTCCTTCAAGCCTCAATTAAAATATCAGCTCCCAAATAAACCTTTCCTGATCTTCCTTAATGCTAGTATCTTCCCTCTGTTTATTAACTAATTTACTCTGTGTGTGTGTGTATATATATATACATATATGTATATATATACATTTTGTTTAACATAATTGTTTACAAATTTTCTCTCCTGTTAGATTATGAGCTACTTGAGAGCTGATTTTTATGTCTTTCTTTGTATGTTCAGCACTTGGCACTTGGCATCTGATAAATAATAGATGCTTAATAATGGCTTCTGGGCTGACTAACTATGAAAAAAGATATTTGTGCAGGTAGGTGGAGTGGAGAGAAAACAAGAAAAGGCTCCATGCAGTAGATCAAGAACCGAACTTTTCAGGAAACAATGAATCCTGAGAAGTAGGTATGAAGAGGGAGAGCACATAGATGGGAGATGGAATAGCTAGTAGGACAGTCTGACTAGACCAAAGAATGTGTAAATACATGCAAAGTATAATAAGTCTACAAAGGTTTGGATGGAGCCAAACTGTGAAGGATGGTCTATAGCAATCAATCAATCAATAAGCTTTTACTAAGCAATTATTCTGCCATTCAAAGTCTTAGAGAGTTGCCCAAGAGCACTGAGAATTTAATATTCCCAGAGTCACATGGCCAGTATGTGTCAGAGGTAGATTTGGAGCTGATGTCTTGTTGACTCCAAGGCCATTACCAGACTGCTTCTCAGCATAGACATTATTTGTACTCAATAGGCATTTCAAACACTTGTTTGACTATACTTGAAAATAATTTGTTCTCTGAAGTAATTTGAACAATCTCTTGAAATCTCATTTATACCACTGATTTGCCCAAAGAATCACTTTTTTTCATAGATAATACAAAAGTAAATATCAGTTCAACCAGTCTAAATGGTCACAAACTCTGAATTAATATGATTGGCATTACTGACATTAACAATTCTGTATAAAGGGGCAGCTAGGTGGCGCAGTGGATAGAGCACTGGACCTGAAGTCAGGAGGACCCGAGTTCAAATGTGACCTCAGACCAAACACTTGACACTTAGTAGCTGTGTGAGCCTGGGCAAGTCACTTAACCCCAATTGCTTAAAAAAAAAGAAGAACTGGGCAAGTCACTTAACCCCAATTGCTTAAAAAAAAAGAAGAAAGAAAGAAAGAAAGAAAGAAAGAAAGAAAGAAAGAAAGAAAGAAAGAAAGAAAGAAAGAAAGAAAGAAAGAAAGAAAGAAAGAAAGAAAGAAAGAAAGAAAGACAGACAGACAGACAATTCTGTGTAATCCAATCTAGAGAGAAAATCATAACTCAAAACCACCCCCCTCTTCTTTCATGCTCTAGCAACAGTCTATGGAGAATAGTTTGGGTTCTTACATTTCTTTGTCTAATATGAGCACCAGTCCTTCAAAGAATGACTAACCCTGGAAAACCCAATGGAAGAATCAATTGCAGCTGTTTCCAAAGTGGCAAAGATCAAACACATACAAACCTGTGGAAATTCAGGAATATCAAGCAAAGGAATACTTTTAAATAATTGAAGAAATTCAGGGAGATATTCGAGAATGTGCTGAGCCTTAGTAAGTAAAGAGTTGATGCTCGAAACCACATCCAACAAGGAGTTCAGTAAGGAATTTGCCTCTGGTGGTATCAACATCTGAAAGAAGAAAAAATATTTTGGATCCATGGAATGACATGATCATTGTATATAATAAAAAGACCAACCTCATGGGGATCTATAGGCTAGATTAAAGGAAAAAAGAGTCTTGAAACAGAAATTGATTAGGAGATTACTCCAGGTAAGAGGTAATAAGGGTCTGAACTAGGATAGTAGCAGTATGAAAATGGTAAGTACAGCTGGCAGCACAGTGGGTACAGTGGTGGGCTTGGAGTAAGGAAGACCTGAATTCAAATCTAGCCTCAGACACTTCCTACCTATGTGACCCTCAGCAAGTCATTTAACTTCTGCCTGCTTCAGTTTTGTCATCTATAAAATAGGGATAATAATTGGTTGGATGGTTGCTGTCTTTCATCCTCAAAGAGGACCAAAATGACATCAGTATGTCAGGGTCAAGGTATAGTGAGTGTGTCCAACTGTGGCTGATCAAAGCAATGTGAGCTCAGAAGGTTCTGCCACAGGTTGGAATAATAGCACCTGCTTCATGGGGTTACTGTAAGCATCAAATGAGATAATAATTGTAAAATGCTTAGCACAGAACCTGGCACATAGTAATTGCTATATAAATGTGGAAGAGGAGGAGAAGGAGGAGGCAGCTGGGTGGTATGGTCAATAGAGCACCAGGGTTGGAGGCAGGAAAACCAGTTCAAATCTGGCCGAAGACACTTACTAGCTTTGTAACCCTGGGCAAGTTATTTAATCCTGTTTGCCTCAGTCCCTCACCTACAAAATGAGCTGGAAAAGGAAATGGCAAACCATTCCGGTATCTCTGCCAAGAAAACCCCAGTTTAGACTACAAAGAATCAGACACAACTCAAAAAATGACTGAACAAAAGTAGTGTAGTAGTAGTAGTAGTAGTAGTAGTAGTAGTAGTAGTAGTAGTAGTAGTAGTAGTAGTAATAGTAGAAGAAGAAGGAGGAGGGGGAGGGGAAAGGAGAAGGGAGGGGGAGGGGGAAGGAGGAGGGGGGGAGAAATAAGGGTGGGAGACATTTGAAACATTTCAGAAGTAGAATAAGAAGGACTTGGAGACTGTATATGTGAAACTAATTAGCAGAAGTCAAACATGGTGTGAGATTTTTTTTAACCTGGTTGTAGTATTGACAGTACGAAAAAGGAAAAAGGAAAAAAGAATAGTACTTCAAAGAAAAGAATAAAACATTACTTATTTTTGACAATTTTTCGTGTTAAAAACAAGTTCCTTGTTTTCTGATTTGTATTCCAAATATAGGGAAGTTTTTTCTCAGGTTAAAAATCAAGCCCCAAACCTAGGAGGGTTTTGCCTGTGGCCAATATTCATAATAAAACAAAGAACTTGGGGTAAATGGATGGAAAACAATAAGACCTTGTCTCTTCTTAGCTTTCTATCTGCTGCAAATCCGTTTGCATAACAAGCCAGACAGTAATTTGGGAGTTTCTAACCCTAAAGCAGAGAGTGTCTGTTACAAAGGAGTATGTTTCAATTCTGACACCTGTGCTCAAAGAATACATCATCTTTGAGAGAATTTTACCTATCTTTTATTAGCTGACTGGGGCTGTGACGGCTAAGACTTGAGAATCAGTTTACCCTTATCGTGGAGAACCTTTCTAAACATTGTGCCCTAGCAAACTGGGTTTGAGATGGCCAGAAGTGGCCCAGGAGACATGAAGTCTAGAAGCTAGAGCACAGGAGAGCTCATAAGACAGGTTGAGTGAAGCATAGAGAAAACCAAAAGAGAAAGAGGCAGAGGGATGGAGACCAAGAAAGTGGAGACAGAGAGTAGCAGAGATGTATACAGGGCCTAGGTATAGGCCCAGCAGAAGGGAATAAGTTACAGCATGGTGACTTTGCTGGAGGACATTGATGTGGACTTGCAGCATTTAAACTGTGACTTGCTCCTCCATGAATGTGTCCTGCCTACACGTGTTCCCATAAGCATGCTCCAAGCTTGATCTCATTGATGATCTATATATTTTGAAAGAATAAACCCTAGGTTTGTGGGAATGATGTTCTATACCACTTTTCTTACTTACTACTTTATTGGACACATTTGTCTTGAAATAATTTGAGTCCTCTGGCCATGTTGTAAAAACTAAACACATGGATGGACCCTATGAGGTATAATTTTTAATAAATATAGACCCAAAGAATACCCCAAACTTGAGATGCACTGTGAAAGAGGATCCTCAAATGCTATGTATGTTATTTATCAAATTGCAGACTGATTATAATTCAGAGCTCATTATAATTAAATATTATGTACAATTCCATTGCATGAAAAATTGGCATATTTAAATCACCATTCAATCAGCTTATTTGATAGACTCATACCTGTCATCAGTAAATAAAAGTCATCCTAAATCCAAAATCTGTTAACACGAACAAAATATCATAAAAAACAAGTTTTTGGTGGGGACTAGAACTATGATTTGATTAATAAAGACAACTCCCCAATGAATAAACTCTCTCTTTGGTACACGCTTTGCAACTTAGAGTAATAGAAAATTACCTACAGGTTAAGTAACTGGCCCTAGATCAAATAGCCATTCAGTCTTAGTTGTTGTTCAGTCCTTTCAGTCTTTGTGACCCCATTTGGGGTATTCTTGGCAAAGATACTGTAGTGGTTTGCCATTTTCTTCTCCAGCTCATTTTACAGATGAGAAAATTCAGGCAAATAGGGTTAAATGACTTGCCCAGGGTCACACAGCTAGCAAATGTCTGAGGCTGGATTTGAACTCAGGTCTTCCTGACTCCAGGCCTGACACTCTATCCACTGCACTACCTAGCTGCCCTTTCTGTACTGGAAGGGAGTCCAGAACTCAAGTCTTTCTTGCTCTAAGGCCAGCTCTCTATCTACTATATCACGCTGCCTCTCAAAAACAAAGTTAGAAAATAACCTACTAAACTGATGCCAAAATAAGGTTCCCTAATGCATCATCTATTGTGAACTGAACAGCAAATACTTAACTTTACAAACCATTCAGAGATAAATGTTCTAATTGCCCAGCATTCAAGGGTAGAGAAATTAGGTAGACTATTGTCTCTTCCCCTTATCCTTTCTCAAGAGTTTTCGTGATCACTGGATGACTGCCATTAGCTGACATCTTACTTGATAACCAGCAAGATAATTGAGAGTCCAGCTTGCTTTTCCATAGACTCCTTCTGCTAACAGCATAAGGTAGGTTTCCTTGCCAATTAAGTCAAGAAATAAAATTTGAGCCACAGAAATGTTCAGCAGAGTTACACCACTTTCCCTGCTTGCTTCTCTAATTATAGCTGCACTTTAAAAGTGGCACTAAGAGACACTTAACTTGTCAAGGGGAAATGGCTGGAATTTAGTTAAGTGCCCCTGACAGACAGGTGAAAATTACTAGAAAGGGTGGATATTGTATTTTATATTTCATGGAATTCTTCACAATATTTTTGTTGTAGTGGTTATTGATGTTGCTTCTAGCTTTTGGTTGATCACTGAAAATTGCCTAAAATAGTCTTCATATATTAATAATGGCCTCAATTCGGTGGCTTAAAAGAGGTTTGATGCATACTAAATTATATTATATATTATATGTTATATCACATTATTTCACTTAGTAAAGGTTTTATGACGTAGCCTGTAGGAAAAGCTAAACGTGGCTTGGGCTTTGTTCTAGGGTACCTAATTTAGAAAATTTTGACAAAACTCATAATCCTGCAGCTTCACAGAAATAATCAATTAATCAATCAATATTTATAAAGTGCCTACTATGTGCTAGGCACTCTGCTAAGTGCTAGGGATACAAAAAGAGGCAAAAGACAGGGATTGCCCTTGAAGAGTTTACAATCTAACAAAGGAAACAACATGCTAACAAATATATAAAAAGCAAAGTACATACAGAATAAATAGAAAATAACAGAGGGAAGGCACTGGAATTAAGAGGGATTGGTGACAGTTTCCTGTAGAAGGTAAGATTTTCACTGACACTTAAAGGAAGCCAGGAAATCAGTAGTTGGAAAAGAAGAGTTAGAGTGTTCCTGGCACAAAGAATAGCCAGAAACAATGCCCGGAACAGAGAAATGAAGTGTCTTGTTCATGGAATAGCCAGGAGGCCAATGTCACTGAATCAAAGAGTCAGGGAATGATATAGAAGAAGATTGGATAGGTAGGAGGGAGCTAGGTTATGAAGGGCTTTGAATGCCAAATAGAGCATTTTGCATTTGCTCTGAGGGAGGCAAGTTTAAGGAGGGGAGGGGAGGGGTTGAAATGAGAGATCAATATTTTAGGAAAATCACTTGTGCGCTGAATGAGAATGGATTAAAGTGGAGAAAGACTTGAAGTAGCCAGACCTTCCAGCAGGCTATTGCAATCAAGGTATATAGTGATAAGGGCCTACACCAGGGTGCTGGAAGTTTCAGAGGACAGAAAGGGCCCTTTTTGAAAGTTATTGCAAAGGTGAAATCTACAGACCTTGGAGACAACTTAGGTATGGGTGGTAAGAGATAAAAAGGAATCCATGATGAGTCATAGATTGTGAGTCAAAGGGACTGGGAAGATGGTGTTACCCTCTACAGCAATAGGGAAGGTGGGTGGAGAGGAGGGTTTAGGAGGAAAGATAATGACTTTTGCTTTGGACATACTGAATTTAAGATGTTAACGGACATCCAGTTCAAAGGCAGTTGGAAATTTGAGACTGAAGGTCATCAGAGAGACTAAGACAGGAAAGGTAGATTTGAAAATCATCAGCATAGATATGTAAGTAAATCCATGGGAGCTGAGAAGATTACAAAATGAAGTGGTATAGTGGGAGAAAAGAAGAAAGCCAATGACACAATCCTGAGGGACAACTATTGCTAGAGGGCACGATCTAGAGGAGGATTCTGCAAAGGAGACAGAGGAGTGGTCCGAGAGGCAGGAAGAAAACCAAGAGAGATCAGTGTCCCAAAAACTGACAGAGAAGAGCATCAAGGACACAAATGATCAGCAGCTGCAGAGAGATCAAGGAGAATGAAGATTTGGAAAAGGCCATTATATTAGGCAACTAAAAGATTATTAGCAACTTAGAGAGAACATTTTCAGTGGAATGACAAGGTTGTAAGCCAGATTATAAAGGGTTAAGGAGAGAATAAGAGGAGAGAAGTGTAGGCACCTATTGTAGATGGCCTTTTTGAGGTATATAGCTACAAAAGGCAGAAGAGATTTAGGATGATGGTTAGCAGGGATGGAAGGATCAAGTAGAAGTCTTTTCAGGATAAGGGAGACATAAGCATGAGTATAAGCAATAGGAAATGAAATGGTAGAGAGAGAGATTGAAAATAAGTAAAAGAACCGGAATGATGGGGGAGCAATTTCTTGGAGGAGATGAGATGGAATAGGATCACTTGAACAAGGAGAGGAGTTAACCTTGGTAAGGAGTAAGGCCACTTCATCATGTGAGACAGATGAAGGAGGAGTGGCAAAAGGTACTTGAGTGATAGGAGATGAGAAAGAGGGGGGCAAGAAGGATTTCATGCAAATAGTCTCAGTTTCAGAAGATGAGGCAAGATTCTCAGTTGAGAGAGTGGGGGGAGGGGAAGACATGAAAGGTTTAAAGAAGGATAAGGAGATTTAGAAGAGCTGCTATGGAGAGTAGGCTAGTGAGTTGATAAGGTAGGTGTAGTAGGGTTTCTTAGCAGCAGTGAGGGCTCAGTTGAGGTTACATAACATAAATTTGTTGTGAACACAATCAGAATGGTTCCATGATTTTCTCTACCTTTGTTCAGTAGCACATGCATGGGAACAAAGGTGATGAATGTTGGGAGTGATCCAAGGCTAAGGCTCAGCTAGGTGTAATCAGCAGTGGGGTAAGAGGGCTAGGGATTCAAGAGAGAAAGACAGTGTAGAGTTGAATTAGTTTAACAAAAAGTCAAGAGGGGAGAAGAGGAAAGGGTAGCTAGTATAGAAGAGAGAAATGAAGAATTAAAGGACAAGAGGTCACAGTATAGATGAAGAATAGAATTATGTAAGGGAAGGCAGAGGGAGAGGTGAAAAGTCAATAGCATACAGTCATATAAGGGGATTTCAGAATTCTTGAACACAGAGGTAGCATGTTTGTGAGTGACGAAAAGATCAAGGGTATGACCATTTTTGTGTGTGGCTAAGGTGAGGTGGAGGTCATGAGAAGTGAGTAGTTTAAGGAACTGAGTGGTTAGGGAATCAATATGTATACTGAAATCCCTAGTATGGGGAGAAAAGAAAAATTGTAAGCCTGGTATCAAACTCACTGAGGAGAGAAGGGAAGTGACCTGGAATTCTATAACAACAGCTACCAGGATTATGATTGGGTGGTATATATGAATAGTACAAACCTCAAAGGAAGAGAGTTCACTGAGTGATGGAAGAAGGGAGAGAACCTGGAAGTGGTGATAGAGAGTAAGGGGTATTCCAACTCCCCTGCCTCGACCGGTGAGCTAAGGAGACTGAGTGAAGGTGCAGCCAGTACTGGGAAGAGTGGCCAGGGAGGTTATGTCATCAGGAGGAAGCTAGGTTTCAGTAAGCGCTAGATAACAGGAGTAAGAGAGGATAGGATTTAAGATGAGGGGAAGTTTGTTGTCTGTGGAACAGGTATTTCAGAGGGTAGAGTGGAAGGTCGAGGCAAGAACAGAGATTAGCACCTAGATTGCAAGAAAATTTAGTTAAAGCAACAAGCTTAATGCTATTCCTGTGGGGAAACTTCTTCCTACCATTCTTTGATCTCTGTAACACCTATGGGTATGTTCAATACTACTTGCTTCCAGAAAAGGTTTGTAGTAGTTGCCTGGTATGCAAAATTTTCTAATTTGGCTTAACTATAGGACTTTATAAAATGCTGTGTCAGGGATGAGTATATGTGATATTGGAAGATATCTAGAGTATTGGCTGAATTTTCTCATTGTCGAGAATCTAGATTCTATCACTGGGACAATTTGGTTGTTTGCTCTAATATTTATTTATGTTTTTCTCTTGTTACTAACATCACCTACAGAGTGAACCAGTTGTAGAAAGCAATCCACACCACAAGACACCATCATCTTCTTACTTTGTAAATCATAATCTTCAAATCCAGGTTCTGACCAATGAGTACAATCAAAGTGTACGTGTCCAATGCAGGCAGAGCACACAATTCTCTAGCTGCAAGAGCTTTTCCATCTGCAGGAAATGTCAGCAAGAGGCTGATAACTTCTTCATCACATTTTCCAGCCAAAGCTACTGTAAGGGCACTGGAAAGAAACTGTTTAAAAGAAGAATTAGAATTCACTTTGCCTAAAATATAAAAACAATTCATATACACAATAATAGTTTGTTATTTAATAGCTAATCATGAACCATGAAAAAAATGATCCTTTACTCACCAATGAGTCACTCTGAACTTAGCTAGGTTGGTCACAGGATCTAGAGACAGGAGGGACCTCAGAGGTCTCTGAGAGTGTCCAACTTTCCCCTCTTCCCACTTATTTTATAGGAAACTAAGACCCAGAGAGTTTAAATGATTCGATGAAAGTTAACAAGTGATAAACAACAAAGTCTAGATATGAACCCAGGTTCTCTGGCACAAAATCCAGGATTCCTGCATTAGGCAACAGTCTCAGTCTGTTGCCATGACCGCACTAAAATACTTCTCAACTAATTGGTATTAGTCATAACTAATACTGGCAAGTCTTTGAGAACTCAGGGTTACCTTCACACTATAATGAGATTTCAGAGTAAGGCTTTATGATAAAATTAATAATAACTCATCTTTATATAACACTTTAAGGTTTATAAAGTCCTTCTCCTACAAAACGACCGAGAGGTATGTCATACAAATAGTATCCCCATTTTGCAGATGAGGAAACTGAGGTTCAGAAAGGTTACATGACTTGCCTAGAGTGATACCATTAAAAAGTGTTTGAGCCAGGCCTCAATTGGTTCTTCTTACTCTGTGACCTCTAAGTTCACTCTTAACCACCACACTATGTTGCCTTTATGACCAGATAAACTTAAGTCTTTCAAAATGCCTTTTATCACTCTCCACCCCTGGGGCCTCACCTTCTAATTGGTTGGCTCCTCTAACCTCCTACCTTAGGTGGAGTCCCAAACCAAAGTCAAAATCTCCCTCCCCTGCACTGCTGACTCATTTCCACAGGACTTTTTTCTACTGTGCCTCCATGCCAGGTACATTTCCCCCCATCCCACTCCCTTCAGCTCCTTTTTGGTGTTGTCTTTCCCAGTAAAATATAAGATCCTTGAGAGCAGAGACTGTCTTTCTGCTTATAAATGTATCCCAAGGGCTGAGTATGGTCCTTAGCACATCTTAAGTATTTAATAAATACTTCTTGACTGACTGATATCACAAGCTGGGGGATGATGCTGACAATGGAGTTTCTAAGAAGTAAGCAATTTCTGACAATAAAATCTGGGAGGGCACTATCCCACTGGGTTATCCTACCTACTGGTAATTTTGATAGACCTTAAAAATGAGAAAGGAAATATGGAATAAAGAGTTCACAAAGAAAGTAACTGGTTTGTTTGGAGATGCACCAGGAAAGGCTTTCAAGTCTGGTATTTGTTAGATTCTAAAATTCTGTTATCCATTCTAATGTAGGGGAGATGTGACACGAGTCATACAAAGGCACAAAGAATTAAAATGTTTGTGTGATTTGGAACATATTTTGGTAACTTTCAGTTAAATTGATTTCTTTATAATCCTGGGTGTTTTATTTTATGCATTAAAAAAACGTTATTCTGAGCAGAAGGATATGTAGATTTCACCAGACTGACAAGAGGATCAGTCCCTGACACACACAAAAAGGTTGAGAACCCCTGATTAGGGGAAGGTTGCATATCAAAGGGATGCATACTTGCTACTGTTTCATTCCACATTTGTGTAATTATTTACATGAAAACACAGAAAGTTCTTAATATCTATATACTCATTAGATCATGGATCATAGAAGGGACCTCAATGACCACCTAGTTCAGGGGCTGGCAAACTATGGCCTCAGGGCCAAATCCATCACATTGCCTGCTTTTCTACAATAGATCATACACATTGGTGTCGTTTAATACTCCTATTTTACAGATGAGGAAACTGAGGCCCAGGAATGTGAAGTGGCATAACCAAAGTCACAGATTTACTTAAGTATCAAAGGCAGGATTTGAACCCAGGATTTGACACTTATTCATGCTTCCATACTGTTGGATGCCCTATTGTATTCAAGCATTGTGCAAACTGTACAAAGACATGAAACCGTCACCACAAGCTAGAAGTGGACCCAAAGCTAAAGTTGAAACATTTTGTATTTAAATTTGTCCTTGAATTTGTTTTTTTCTTTTAAGGCTCATATTTGAGTGAAGGTGGACAAGATCTGACTTCAGGGCAGTTGATGTGAAGAAAGACCTAGAAATTTTAACTCACTATAAACTCAATGTGATCCAGAAGTATAGTTCTAAGAGCTTCCCCAAAAGCTCATTTCATTTTTGATTTCATGAACAGATGTATACTATCATAATCAAGGAATGTCAGAGTTCCACAGTATTTTGGTCAGCCCATTCATATCTGGAATTTTATATGCAGTTCTGGAGACCAGATTTTAAGAAGAATATACAACCAAGATGGTGAGAAGTCTCAGATCACGTAATGCAATCAATAGATATGGAAACTACAGGTGTTTAGCTAGAGCAGCCATTTTCAAAGTGTGGTCCATAGACTCTGAGAGGTCCTGAGAGCCTTTTGGGGGAAGGAGGGAAAGCAGAGTTCCACAAGACTAAAACTATTTTCAGTATAATACCAAGATGTTATTAGTCTATTAGAATACCCTTTCCTTTCCAACTACATTATCTGTAAGAGGCCAGATTTTCTTCATATTCTTCAACCAAAATAATATATTGCAGTGGAACAAATGCAGAAATAGATATAGAATCTGTCTTCTATTAAGCCAGATATTAAAGAGATTTGCAAAAATATGTAAAACAATCCACTCTTCCAACTGTTTTTGTTTTCAAAATATGTTTAATAAAAATTGTTCTGTTACCATGTAATGGGTATTATTATTATCATTGCTAAATAACAAATAAATATTTTAAAGTACATGTTTTAATTTCTAATATAGTAAATATTGATATTTATAATCCATATAAACAAAAGCTCTTTGAGGTCCTCAATAATTTTTAAGAATGAATAGAGGTTCTGAGTCTGAGACTTAAAAGTTTGAGGACCACTGAGTTAAAGAAATTAATACCAAAGAGGAAGGGGACTAAAAATATTTGAAAGTCTATCAAGCAAAAGGGATGCATTATGCTATTCCAAAAAGCAGAACTATGTAAGGCCAATGGATAAAAGATTTAGGGGGCATATTTGAGCTCAATAGAAGGAATGAATTTCTGTTGGAAAGAGTCCAACAATATGAAAAGGCTAGCTCAAAAAATAGCAAGCTCCTCCATATCGAATATCATAGAAGGTGATTCTGAATTGATCAGGTGGCTTAGGTAACTCCTGAGGTCCCTATTAATTTACAAATTACAACTTTTGTGGTTCTCTAAGTCTGTCAATCATTCACAGAATCTCAAAATATCAAAGTTGTAAAGAACTCTGGAGATCTTTTAGTCCTATCCCAACCTGAAAAATGAATACTTTCTACAACATTACAAAAAAAAGTGACAATCTATCCTCTACTTAAACACATTCAGTAATGGAAAACTCACTACTAATGAGATAGCCAATACATATTTGGACTGTTCTAATTTTTATTTAGCAAGAGTTACTTTTGTTGAATAACTGCATTGTTTTCTTAATCCCCAGGGTTGATAATGACTTTCGTTCTCAGAATGTATATGAAAATGGGGGCAGTGAGGTTAACTCTTGAGAATGCTCATCATGTAATATTTGTATTAGAACAATTTTTGTATTGATCTCTTACCTCTAAAAGAGTAGGAACATAACTTAGCTAAACTTTGTCTTGGAGCTCAGTATAGTCCTCCATATATTGAAGTGTAATAAATATCTACACCTCCACTGAAAGAAGGGGAAGTAACTTGAGAATAAATAACAACAGACCTCAGTTCTGATTCTGGCTGTGCTCCTGATCACCTGTGTTACCTTGAGCAAATCATTTATCTTCTCTAAGCCCTGCCTAATTAATTCATCTGTAAAATGAGGGGGTGGGACTAGATGACCTCAGTGGATTCTTCCAGCTCTAAACCTGTGATTTGTTGTGGTGATTGTTTCAATAAGATATTGTTGGAAAGAGATAGGGTTTATTTGTAAAGATGAGGAATTTTGAGGGAAAGCAGGTCTGATTAAGGATAGGGAAAGAAAGTTGTTAAGGGGCCACGTGGATATATACATGTATACGTATATGCAAATATAGCTACTAAATAGCAGAGGCATAACTATATATTATCTAAATATATAGATATATATTAGCTATATACATGTGTATTCATGGGTATTCTTTTATCTATGCAGGAGACATAATGGTTTATTGAACTCACAATAACAAAGCTTTCTTTTTTCTATACGCCTCTCTTTACCTATCTAGTTAGGAGACCACATTTATTTCCTTGACAAAGAATTAGATGAAGAAAGACAAATCATTCATAAGTAAAGACATCATGCCTCACAAAACTCCTCAAACGGGACAGTGGTTTATGCAGGGTAACTTTCTATAAGTAGAACCTGGTCATAACAGAACACCAGTGACATCCAGTGGCTGGCTGACTCGCTGAGTTGGTCTCAAAACACCAACACCTAAAGGACAAGCCCTTTCTAACACATTCCAATAAGTAAAGAATCGATTTTTTAAAAAGTGGCTACAAAAGCCCATTTAAGCTGCCTATATGCCTTGATTTCACAATCTCATTAAAACGAAAAGATCAAAAAGCTGTGTTTGCTGTCCAAAGCATGGATGAAAGGTGAGGCTTCATTTAGTGAAATACTGACATTGTCTTATCAAACTAACTCCTTTATAATCCTGAGGTAACAAGTTACACAGCCAATTATAACACTAAAAGTAATAGTATTTTATATACATAAGCAAAGTTTATCTCTTATGAGGTACTATACAAAATCAATACATTCTTTTCAACAACATTTCTATTGAGTTATATTCTCTTTTTTTTCCATTTTACTTAAAATAAAAATAGGGCCAAGAAAGATTCTGATTTGCTATAAGCAATTGTTAATATCATTAGAAGTGGAAGGGACCATTGAGTCAATCTCATTTTACATATGAAGAAACTAAGGTCCAGAGA